GAGGAGGGTTCAAACGACACCGGTGTAACTTTTACTAAGTGTTACACCGCTTAATAACTTTATATTAAATGTGAATTTTGAAAATCCAACCGTTAGATTGAAAGTTTATATCTCTTAGATCATATATATCAAATTTTGTTAAAATCGAATAACAACTTAAAAGTAATCAAAGTGTTCATATTTTAGTATATTTTGAAATATATATATTACGTCAATTTTGTGTTATGAGAATGAAGTATCAAATCATCTTAGATTAATATAAAATTTGATATATATGATTTAAGAGATATGAATTTTCAATTTAACGGTTGGATTTTCAAAATTCACATTTAATATAAAGTTATTAAGCAAGTTACACCAGTGTCGTTTGAACCCTCCTCTATATATATATATATTTGTATTATATACTGGCTAAAATTTTCCTACTCCCTTTATACAGTAAGTGTCGAATGTGTTTAATATTTTTAAGATGGTAAATATATTTATTTTTTATATAATTTTTTTTATGAAGTAATAGAAAGATTTGTAGAAAGAGAAATGTTAACACTACTCTCTTTTAACATTATTTTCCAGCACTTTTTTAATTATTAAATAAAATTTATTAAAAATTAAAAAAATTGTGAATCTTACAACCTATTTATTGAGACTCTCCCTTATTTAGTAATAAGATTTATTAAAATTTGTGTTTTTTAATTGAATAATGCTACATGTATAATTAAAAATTGTACAACATTTTTGTGTTTATCTCTCCATAATTAATAATATTTTTCTTCATAATAAATAAAATGATGGCAAGATTGAAACAAAAGTGATGTGGTATAAATTGTTGTACATGTGTTGGACATTTAACCTTACTGTTTTTATTACGATTATTAGGAGCAGATTGTATTATTTACTTCTACTCTGTTTTGGTAGGAAAATTTGCTGTATGGATGATACCACAATTGTTTGCATACGCTATAAACTTTCCAATCCAAAAGTTCTTACAGGCACAGGGGAAAGTCCTGGTGATGTTATGGATATCAACAGTTGTTTTGGTGTTACACACTTTTTTTAGTTGGCTTCTTATATGGAAGTTGGGATGGGGATTAATTGGAGCAGCAATTACTCTAAACACATCATGGTGGTTGATTGTCATTGCACAATTGTCGTACATTTTCATCACTAAATCAGACGGAGCTTGGAGTGGATTCACATGGCTAGCTTTTGTAGACTTGTTTGGTTTTCTAAAGCTTTCTTTGGCTTCAGCTGTTATGTTATGGTATTTTCTCTATCTTCATTTTCCTTTCATTTGCTCAAATATGATGCTAAATGTTAATTAACTCTTCAAATGGAATATGGCAGCTTGGAGTTTTGGTATTTGATGATACTAGTGGTGATAGCAGGTCGTTTGGAAAATCCAGTAATAACTGTTGATGCCATATCTATCTGGTAAAAAATTATCCTATTTTCGTGTGCTTGCAAAATTGCAATTCAAAACTGAGCTTGTGATGCTTTGCTTAAAGCCTATTTGGATATAACCTATAAGCACTTTTGATAGTTTCTTTATTGAAAATAAAGAATATTTTTTAATAAAAAAGTTCTTAAAAACACTTATGACGTATAAACACTTTTCAGTGTTTCTTTATTTACTTATACCATAGTAAATGTGATCCCAAGTGCACTATATTGAGTAAACATAGAAAAATTCAAAATCTTGTTTCCATGTCTGCAGTATGAACTTAAATGGATGGGATGCCATGATCGCAATTGGGTTCAATGCTGCTATAAGGTGATATTCTCAATGATTTAGTATCCATGTATTCACAACTAGCATATAGGGGTTAGTTATTAATGAATATTCTGAAGTACTTTAAATTGTTTCAATTTATGGACAGTGTGAGAGTATCAAATGAACTAGGGGCTGGGAATTTTCGGGCTGCAAAGTTTTCAGTGTGGGTGGTTTCGATCACATCAGTATCCATAGGTATTGTTGCCATGATCATAGTGCTAGCAACAAGGGGTTACTTTCCATACTTGTTTACCACGAGTGTTGCAGTTGCCAAGGAAACAACTATGCTTGCTGCTTTGCTTGGTGTTACAGTACTTCTAAACAGCCTTCAAATGGTCTTGTCTGGTTAGTCCCACAAAAAATGAAACTTAGTCAAATTACATCATCTAATGAGATTATCTGGCATATGCTGACAAATCTCGTAAGATAACTGAGATTATCTGACATATTCTAGCATATCTTACAAAATATGTCAGAATATGTTAAATAATCTCATTATTATCCAATTAAGATAAAACACACACACATACATATATATATATATATATATTATATATATATTATATTATATCTTTGTTGGCCATGGTTTCAGGTATTGCTGTTGGAGCTGGTTGGCAATCTCTAGTAGCATACATCAACGTTGGGTGTTACTATATTGTTGGATTACCAGCAGGGATAGTCTTGGGATTCACGTTTGGTTTTGGAGCAGAGGTATATATTCATAATCAATTATGATTATTAATTTTTATTGTTTGTTAGTGGTAATTGTTTTGCAAATTATTGTTGTTGCATCATAGTTTACCTTTTATTCTTACTGTTTATCCTGCTTGTGTAATTCAGGGTATTTGGTCAGGGATGATTGGAGGCTTAGTTTTGCAGACAATAATCCTTATAATCATCACTTCAATAACTAACTGGGAAAAAGAGGTTGGTGCTTTCCATATTTAGTATCTTTTTTTCTTCTCTTTAATTTATTCTTGCTAGAGTTTAAGGTGGGCCCAAAAGTAAGTGTTCCAATTGAGTTGAGGTGATGAGACTTGGCAATCGTCTTGTTTATTATTGTATTATGTAACATATTGTTTGTTAAAGTTTAATTTGTTGCATATGGATTTCACAGGCAGAAGAAGCTGAGAGTCGTGTGAGAAAGTGGGGAGGATCAATTTTGTGAGTAACGACTTTAACCAAGATCGAATTATGAGAAGCTACAAATGTGTCGCACAACCTCACTCACCTAAATTTTTATGACTCTAGACAATTAGATTGGGACTCGATGAAATTGCATCAAGAATTAGAACTTGAAAATTTTCAACGTGTATGCTCCTATTAAAGAACACACTTGTACTCATTGGTGAGTTCTAAAGTCAATTGCAAAATAAAAAAAAAATAAAAAAGTCTTATGTGTGTGACCTAGTGTGATCAACGAGAGATGAAGACCCTCTCTAATTGGATTAATAATTGTTTCCACCTTTTACAAGGGTGGTGAGGATGATGCCTATCTCACGAGCTAAGGAAGGGTTGTGCCTTTCATCCTCTAACCACTTATGAAAGTAAAACACGTAATCTCTGTCAGAAAATTTGTTCATGCTTTGTTCACAAACACTTTTATTCTCTTTTAAGGAAGGGTGAGGTTCATGCTTATGCACAGTTTAAAAACAAGAAAACAGTGCAATATATATTGAATTTACTCACAACTAACATTTTTAAATGAAACTAACATATTTAAATACTTTTGTAATAGTTAGGGTCAATATTATTTAAATCCTTGATGATATTTGAATGTAAATACTTTGTAAAGGTCACAATTGTACACACATTTGCTCTAAATGAATATAAGGTAAACAAAATTCAATACACAGCTCATAATTACCTGGAAGATATATGAATATGAGAAGCTATTACTGGACATAAAGTTATGACTTTAACCAACCATTTTTCCTATTAGCAATGATTTTGTTCAAACTAAGAGGATCAATATAAAGACATAAAAGACAAATCTAAGATGAAGACATTAGCCCCTATGTATGAGAAGAACTACCTCAGTGCAACATGATTAACGGAGTTGATAGTCTTCCATAGCTGAAAAGTGCAATCAAATCTTTAGATTAATGTATTCTATCTGATTTTTGCTCAAAAAATGTTTCTACTCCATAAAACTAAAGGTTAGATTAACACAAAATGTTAGATTAATATGTTTACTGCAGTAAATTAATTTGTTCCTCACTTGTAGAACATTATTTGGATCATTAGTGAGTTGTGTGGTATAACTTGGTAAGGTTGCAGTTGATTAAAATTTATGCCTCCAAAGAGTACGGGGTCTACTGCAAGAAAAAAAATAACTTTTTCTCACATCTCTTGCATTTTTTCAATTTTTCAACTTTTCCTTTTTCATTATATTTGGTTGGTTGAACAAGGCAATCACATGAAGTTGACAAAGCTTTGCCTTGAGTGGAGTGAATCACAACAATGTGATAAAAATGTTAATGGTATGTTTGGTAAATGAGAAATAAAGGAGAAATAGTGAAGTGAGAATGAAAATAGGGAAGAGATGGAAAATGGTGTGTTTGATTGTGTGGAAAGAGAAATGCTAAGAGTATATTTCTCATTCATATCCTTTTAAACACATTCTTTTTTTATTGGTTGAATTTTATTAAAAATAACAAAACAATGGGATCTCATGTTTTTTCTATTACTTTAAATTATGATTTTATGATTTTTAATTTTAACTAATGTGAGAATGTGCATTTAAAAGAGTGTTTATATATATATATATATATATATATATATATAAATTTCAACGATCTAACCGTTGAATTAAAAAATTTTAATGCACAGATTAAATCTGTAAATTTTTAAAAAATTTGAAAATCATTGGAATCTTCGTTTCATTAATTCAAATTAGTGGATAATCATAAAAATATGTTATTAGTCAATTTGAATTAATGAAATAAAGTATCAAATAATTTTCAAATTTCTTAAACATTTAAAAATTTGATTTGTGCATTAAGAACTTTAAATTAAATGGTTGGATTGATATAGAACATGAATTATTAAACAGAGTAAGTCTAGATAGACTTATTCCTGAAGTAAATGAATCTCTCTATATATATATATAAGAGATGATTTAGGAAGTGTGCTGTTAGCATATTAGAAAGGGGACCCCTTTTCATTTCTCTACAAATTAGCTAGAGCGAAAATTCTGCATAAACACACACCACCCATTTTAATGATTAAAGATAATTTATAACCAATTATTAATACTCTTATTTTTCACATATTTTTATTTACTTTATTTATTGTTTCTCTATTTCTATTTACTCTAATTTTTACATATTTTTTTTCTTTCATACCAAACATTCAAAATACTAAGTATTTCAAAACGAGTGAGGTTCAAGTGAATTCATACATTTAAGGGGAGTGTTTACCACTTAATATGTGGTTTGTTGTTCGAATGTTGAAATTGATGATCACTAAACCATTAGATATAGTTTACCATTTATAATTCGTTTGGTTGGTTCCAATTTACTTACCAGTTTCAAAATGGTTATCAATGTTTGTAGTTGAAGGACTCATTTTGGGTTCAAATACATTAAGTCCATTGAGTTCTAATAGGCCCAAATGTTGGTTCAAAATAACACTATTGGTATTTATAGGTTGATAATTAATTGCATAATGTTCTTGTTCATCTTGCATGTTGTTTGGTTGGAGAGGAGAAGAGATGAGACGAGGGGATGAAAGATAATTTTAAAAACTTTTCTTGTTTAATTCAAATTTTAGAAAGAGAGAGAAGCAAAATCTCTCTTCATATAATTTTAACTCCCCTTCAATATAAGAGGATTTGGAAGGAAGGATAGGGATTTTAAAATATTTTTAGTATAACATAGACTAGAGATTGTTTTATATAGACTTTCTTTTCAATAATTTTATTTAAAAATACATTTTTTTTTGTTTATTTGAAAAAGTTTAATATATTTATGAGTTGCAGAAACTAACATAATCCTTATAATTTCAAGTCTAGTAATAGGTGCAAAGATTTTAATGAAATATATACCCTTTTTATTATAGCTTTGAACTACTAATCTAGTTGTATTTCTTACCATCTTAACCTACTCATTTAACTTATTTATGAAAATTCATATAATTTTAATGATACTTTGATGTTTAAATTTTGGAATAAATGTCCAAATACCATTTCTATCAAACTAATGAAGTTCTTCTTGCATAACAAGAATCCAATCGTTGTCTTTAAGAGCTTTGCTTATCGTCATTGGCTTAATCTTTAAGACTAAAGCATACAAATCTTGTCTTTATTCTTTCAATCCTATTTCCTAATATTTGATATTGAGGATAGTAGTTAACGAACTTCCAATTTCTATGAGATTTGGATGCATCGTCTAACTAATTTGTTTACCCTTTAGGCTCAACAATTTGATGGGAAACAACAACACAATAACAACACAAAGCAAGTTCAAACAGTTAACGCAGTGGAAATAAATCCTCCTAACTTGTAAGAATCTACGAGGAGCAATGACTAATGAACAACAATAGTAAATCACCAAAATCACACACAAAGACACCAAGATTTTAATGTGAAAAATCTCTCAAAGTAAGAGTAAAAATCACGAGTCATCCAGACCAAAGAAATAACTCCACTATGATCAACGAAGAATATAAAAGAGTCTCAATCAACTGTACAAAATAGTTCTAACACCCAACCAAACAACAAAGCAATAAAGCTTACAAAAAGAGAACAAGGAAGATGAAAAACTTCAAATACACAACTAAAGTGCGAACTGAATATCTCGCAACTCAGACCTTGTATCAACAATCCAACCATTCAGAATGAAGAACCAAAGATCCTGGACCTACTGTCAAATTTTCAACTCGATCCAATGATGAAAGAATCTGTAGTATCGATTTTACAGTCATAGTTTTTTGTAAAAACGAGAATGACTTTCTCTCTTCCTCTCTCTCAAAGTGTTGGTGTTCAAAGTGACTTCTTGTAACAACCTGTTAGGTCTCACACTGTCTATAGTGTTCAGATACAAGTATAAAATAAAATCTCACTAGTAAACAATTATATATATAATGAGAATATACAACTAAAAGGTCTCATAATATATATAACTGAAGGTAGGGAATAATACCCTATACAACAACTAGGCAGTCAAAAGCTACCAATCAACTAAATACAACGTCAGCCCTCCTCCTGAGTCCCAACCAAAAAGAAGCTCACCTAGTCCATCATAGCACCTAATCCTGATCTGCTCGCATACCAAAGTATGATCATCGCAGTCCCAACCACATAGGAAAAACACGCGAGGGTAAGCTCACAACAATAATCATAAAAAAATAGCATCAACATATAATAAACAACAATAGAATTCTACTTTCAGCTTGTAACTTAAAGCAACACAACATCTACAACAATAAATATACAATATCATCTACTAGCAACAACATTTTCAACACATCACACTTTATTCAAATTGGCCGCTTGTAATTGGTATAACTCGGCCTGACCCCTATACCATGGTTGCTTCATATACGTGTGCCTCGACCTTGTCCACACACGGGACCAACCAAGTCCTAAAGGAGAACAACATATCATCCACTCCAAGGGACAACTTTCCAAGGAGGGTTTTTAAACAAATTGGACTCTCAGAGCACCACAACTATCTCAATCTGCACAATGGGATGAGTAACTTTGAAAACTTCTCCTCTAGTCTTAGTGATCAACAACTCATCACAACACAATCACATAGTATTTATCATAATAGCTCAACTATCAACTCATTCATACAACATTATATACAACTTGAATGCAACAACTCATGCAACATCAACTAATGCGTCGTCACGCATATACAACTAGGAGATCTCCAACAACTGAGGTTGAGCAGTCTAGGTGGCATAAATCCTACCGAATCCAACGTTTGACCTATCTTAACCAGGTCAGGTATAGGACATCATTAGGAACTCTGAAGAGAACCAGGTATAAACAACAATAGGCGATTGCTCAAATGTGCCACTTAGACTCGGAGGTCCAGTACTACTATCAGGGTAGAAGGATTTGGGTATGAACCTACCACGGCCTTGGTCTGCATAACCAATCCACATATGGGGTTAGTCCGCACACTGCCCTCCAAGTACCACGCACCCTCGAGTACCTAGTCAAAGACTACATCTATAACTAGACACCTTACTCAATTTGGTCATTCAACCATGACATGTTTCGACTACTTCCACATCGTCCACACAATACTAAGAGATTCAACTTTAAAATAACTTTCAACTTATCACCTTAGTACTATGTATCTCAACATAGGACATATATCTTCACCATATGTCCCCAACTTTTCAACTTTACAACAATAGGCAACTTTATAATAATGCAACAATAGGCATCTTACAACAATAGACAACTTACAATAATACAACAATAGGCATCTTACAACAATAAGCTACTTACAACAATACAACAAGAGGCAACTTACAACAATACAACAATAGGCAACTTACA